TGGATGGGTGGATGGATGGATGGTGGATGGATGGTGGATGGATGGATGGATGGTGGATGGATGGATGGATGGATGGTGGATGGATGGAACTTCAGCTGTTTATAAATGTGTTGTTGAAAGAGTCTCTAGCTGAATGATGTCAGCGGTTTTGTTCACCTCATGGGGTGCAGCAGCTGAACTGTATGAACTTCAGGGTAAAATGCAGCAGAGTGACATCTGCAACAACAAGTTGGAACTGTTCTCCCACAGGACGAGACAGAACATCATGAGTCCCACAGATACACCTCAGCAGGGACTGCAAACAGAAACAGAGTGTAAAAACCTGCCCAAATGACGAAACCCCATCGATTCTTAGAATCGTGGGAGTGTTGCATGAAACCTGAGGGATAGGTTCACAAACCCTGAGTGAAAACCAGTTGGCTTTCTAGATTTAAACTACTTCATGGACAACGTTTATATGAAAAGAGGAAGAAGTAATTTCATGGGTTCCCACACTTTTAGTATTCAGCCAACAAAATAAAAGCCCCTGAGACTTGTGACCCCGGGTGTTCCATGATTAAGTATAAAAATATAGTTAATCATCAAGCAGTGTCTGTATTTTGTTTTCCATTGATGCATACAGTACTTTTTTAATGTCTTTGTAACATTTTACTGTTGATTGGACCCCTCAGGATGATCACAGTGGGTCCCCACACCAACCCTGAATGAAGAGTTACCATAACCCCTTATCCACAGGGCCTTTTGGGGCTCATATGTAACTAGTCCGGGCCGATTGCGTGGTTTATCCACAATGCCTTCAGCGGTGGAACCCACCCCATTTTTGGGACCTACTTCTCTGAGGTCCCAGGTCTGGTTCTTGTTGGGTCTAGATGTGACATCAGCGCACTGTAGGTCACTGATTGGTCTGGGGGCGTATTCATTGGTGGAGGGCGGAGATCAAGGAGGTCATCCATTTTGGTTGTGTGTTGTTTTTCCGGCTCTTCTTCTTCTAATACATGTTAGTGGTGCTTAGAAAAGAGCTTAATGTAGCATTAGCGCCACCAGCTGGTAAGGTGCGTTGATATTAATAATCCGCCCACTAGAGGTGAACAATCCGC